CCCGGGGAGGAGGTCCCGCAGCTCCCCCCGAGAGGGTACCTGGAGGGATCCCCTCACGGCAGCAGTTCCCTGGTCTGCGCAGGCAGCGTCCCACGAGCCCCGCGGCAGCCCCGAGGTGTCTGTGTGCTTTGCCAACCGCTCCGCCGCCCTCTTCCACCTGGGGCACCTTGAGGTAAGCTTTCCTTCTATGCCAGGAGTCTGTGTTTGGGCAGCAAGGTTGGCTGTGCACGTGGAATTTGCTGGTTAATATAGCCGTATTAAAATATTTTGCATCGTAGATGGAATAAAAGAGCTTGAGTCTCAGCTGGTTTTCAAGGATGTTTTGAAGGTCTTGTCCTTGTTTCTAGGTTTGTTTGGAAGATATTTCCAGGGCTGAAAGCCATGGTTATCCAGACAAGCTGCTGCCCAAGGTCTTGCTGCGGAAAGCTGAATGTCTGTTGTGCCTTGGGAGGTTACAGGATGCAGCAGATGTCCTCAGTGTGATGGAGAGTAAAATCGCTGTGGATGGGCTCATGGCTAGTCCTACACATCAGACACTGCTAAAAAAGTTAAGTCAACTGAAGGTTAAATTACAGGAGAAGCAGAGGTGTCCAGAGCCTGCTCAAGGATCATGTGGTGACATTCAAGGAAAGTCAGAGATCTGGGAAGAGAACAACAGTATTTCACATGCATCTTCTTCTCTGAGCTTGAATTTTGATACAGAGAGAGGACGGCACTTGGTGGCCTCCCAGGACATTGTGCCAGGACAGAGCCTGTTGAAAGAGGAAGCCTTTGTAAGTGTGCTCTGCCCTGGGGAGGGGCTTCTTCTGCAGGACAGCAGTGAAACAGTGTGGGATACTCAAGTCACTAATGCAGATCTTTATTGCCACCGTTGTCTGAGGCAGCTCTTGGCCTCAGTGCCTTGTCAGGGATGCAGTTATGCCAAGTACTGCAGCCAAGGCTGTGCAGATGTGGCGTGGGAGCAGTACCACAGGACAGAGTGTGGCCTGGGAGCACTGCTTCTCACATTGGGGGTCTTCTGCCATGTGGCCTTGAGGACTGTTCTACTGGCAGGATTTGCAGAGGTTAGCAGGCTGGTGGAATGGTCTCACAGTGGGAACAATGACCTTCACAACCCTGAGGCAAGCTGCAAACATCTCAGTGAGGCACCAGCTGCAGGAGCTGGTACCAGAGGTATCCCTGGCTGTAACAGTGATGGTCAGTACCAGAGTTCTTACCAAGCTGTGTTCCACCTCTTGCCCCACACTGAGCAGCACAGCCCTGAGCACAAGTTCCTCTGCGTGCTAAGTGTAGTAGCTCTATGCAAACGGCTGCAAAAAGCTGGCCTAGAGGCTGCTGTTTTGAATCAGGAATCATCTGAGCAGTGCTCCAAACCAAAGACATCTGAAACAACATCAGATGAATTGTCTCCAGAGCTGAAGACTGTGGCAGAAGCGATGCTGAGACACATGTTGCAGCTGCAGTGTAATGCACAAGCAATCACTGTAATGCAGGAGTCAGGTAAGATTAAAACTTTTAAGCCCTTGTCTGTTGTCACAGAACTGTTAGGGTTGGAAGGAACCTCTGGATATCATCCAGTCCAACCCCCTTGCCAAGGCAGGATCAGCTAGAGCAGGTGACACAGGAACATGTCCAGGTAGGTTTTGAATGTCTTCAGAGAGGCAGATTCCACAACCTCTCTGGGCAGCCTGTTCCAGGGCTCTGCCACCCTCAAGAGAAGGAAGTTCTTCCTCATGTTAAGGTGGAGCTTGTGTTTTACTTTGTGGCCATTACTCCTTGTCCTGTTTCTGGGTACCACTGAAAAGAGTCTGACACCATCCTCTTGGCACCTGCCTATGAGATATTTCTATGTATTGATGAGATCCTCTCTCAGTCTTATTCTAGACTAACTAGGCCCATCTCCCTCAGTCCCTCCTCAGCAGAGAGATGCTCCAGACCCTTCATCATCTTTGGGGCCTCCACTGAACTCTCTCCAGTGTTTCCTTGTCTTTCTTGTACTAAGGGGCCCAGAACTGTCCTGTCCTTGCTCATTTAGCTTGTGTGAAGCGAAGAGATTGAATTCTCAGCCGTAAAAATCTCCCATTGCAGATGGAAATGATTTGCTTAAAATTTAATGGCCCTTCCCTGTTATTTGGTGCACATGCAGAGTGTGCTTAGCTATAATTTATTGCAGCAATATACCAGAAACCTTTCTGCTGCTATCTGCAGTTCTTCACAGTACTCATTGCAGAAGTTGTGGTTTTTAGCATTCATTCTCAACCTGCTTGTTTTCCTTTTGTTTTTAGAGTCCAGAGATGAAGCTATTGTAAGCAGGAAGCCTGTGCGCCTGGCCACTCTAGTCTAGTGTGGCATTTAGTGGCACAGCTGCCACTGTTAGGGCATCGCAGCCAATCCCAAGTGGCCAAGAGATTCTCCATTGCTATGGTAAGCATTACCTCTGTGTTTGTCTCAAGGCACAGACATCATTCACCTCTCCTTGACATGCTGAAACAGTTATTAATATGATAATTCTCAGTATAATGTTGCTGGGTTCTTTATTTCTAGTGTGGCATTTAGTGGCACAGCTGCCACTGTTAGGGCATCGCAGCCAATCCCAAGTGGCCAAGAGATTCTCCATTGCTATGGTAAGCATTACCTCTGTGTTTGTCTCAAGGCACAGACATCATTCACCTCTCCTTGACATGCTGAAACAGTTATTAATATGATAATTCTCAGTATAATGTTGCTGGGTTCTTTATTTATGTATCAGCCTTGATCAAAGATATCAATGCAGTGTTTTATCTCTTGAGCTCACTGTTAGATTTTCAGTCTCCAGTTATGTCCTCTCCAAAATACATCTAGTCTCAATTATGACAAAGATTCGTTTGTTCTGATGTTTAAGAACGCGTTTAGAGATTTCTGCCCTTGCCATCCCTTTGCAGGGCCTCACCAATGCAGAATGAGAGCTGCTGAGAGACAACAGCTTCTCAGGCAATATTTCTTTGAGTGTCGATGTCGGGCATGCCTCGAGGAGTTAGAGTCAGATGGCAAGAGTGTGGTGTCCATGAGAAACTCATTCTGCTGTCCCAGCTGCCACTCTCCAATGCAGGTAGTTCTTCCATAGTTATGACTGTGGATCTTATTGGAATGTGTAATGTTTGGGTCTCTAGGAAAGCCAAGAGTTGAAGAGCTCTGTCCATGATCTCTGCTCAGAAGGCAAAAGCTCCTCTAGAGTCAAGACAGTTTTTTGTAAAATCAAATAGCTGTTTGCAGAAAAGTCACTTCATTTAATGAATACAACTGAAAAAATAGTTTAGCATCTCTCTAACACAACACAGAGCTAACAGA